CCCTACCGCCTCGTCCTCCCGCGCGATAAAGTCCTCGATCTCCACATCTCCTCCTCCCCTCTCAGTTTTTTCTCCACATCTTATCTTCTCCATCTCATCCTCACCTCTCATCTTCTCCACATTTCTCTGCTCCTCCCCTCTCTCCTCCTCCTCCCCTCCGACACAGGCGAGCAACGGCGGGCAGCGCAGGCGGCGGACGCGAGAGGGCGGCAGCCAGCTGCGTCAGGGGTGGCTGGCGCTGGTCGGGAAGGCGGCGGCCGGCTACGTCGGGGGCGGCCGACGCCGGTCGGGAGGCGGCGGCTGGCGGACGAACATTTTTTTTTCTTCTCTTATCTGTGCTCTTTGATGAATGCTGAAGATGTTGTAGATGTGAACTTTTTTTTCTTTTCTCTATTCTCTGTGATGAATGCTTGTTGTTCTGAAGATGTTGTATATGTGAATAAGTGTAAAGAATATGGATGCTTTGTTGTTGATTTTATTCATTCGATCTATGATTTGGGCTTTGTTGTTGATTTTATTCCTTCGATCCGATCCATGACGATTTGGGTGATATGCATAGAGCAAAAGAACAATAAAAAAGGAAAAAGACCAACCGGATGAAAGGAATAGAAAAACAAATCTTTAGTTCCGGTTGGTAATAACAACCGGGACCACATTTTTAGTCCCGGTTCATGTTATCAACCGGGACTAAAGGTCCATCTTTAGTCCCGATTATTTTAACCGGGGTCCCGAATTTCATCTCCCGGTTGAAAACCCAAGACTAAAAGGGTTACCAACCGGGACTAAAGATGGTTTCTTCAGCAATGCTTGTACGTGGCTGCTGCCTTGTTCGAACTCGAAATTGTTTGTTCATGGTTGAGAGAGGGATGAACATTTGGACCAGGATCTAGTACCTGACTAATTAACCCGCCCTAACTAGACAACTGAGACGAAATTCAAAATAGAGTAGAAAACATTCCTGAACATATTAACCAAGTAATGTGGGCTCGCTCGTTTCACTCAGTCTTTGCATAGGCTTAGCTCGGCATGTATGGAACGAGCGAGCCCAAGCCTACAATACAGCTCGTGAGTGAAACGAGCCGAGTATAAGCAGACTGGCAAGAAGCTCGTTTGGCTCGACAAATTATGGGGTTGGTGTTTCGTAAAAGCACCCCAGCCAGATGCCACACGTTAGATCAAAGCCAAATAAGTAATATTCTCTAGGTTTCTCAATTAGAAAATTTAGTAGAAGGAAATTCAAGATGCTATTTTTTAAACGGAATATAATAAAGCTCTGGGTCGGGATGTATTCACTTATGAGTTTTATTAGGTTTTCTGGAATGTTATTAGGCCCAATTTAGTTGATTTATTTAATAATTTTTATAGTGGTAATTTACCTCTTTAATTACTCTCTTAACTTTGGTATTTTTATTTTACTGCCCAAGCGCAAACAGGCTTTGAAAATTCAACAATATAGGCCTATTTATTTACTTAATGTCAGTTTCAAAATTTTCACTAAAGTTAATACAAATAGAATTTCTGTAGTGGCTCAGAAACACTGCTGGAGAAAGGCTTTGTACTCCCAATTGGGAACCCCCTACGAATCGGTTAAAATAACCGGGATTAAAGATCCATCTTTTACTTCCGGGGCTTCAACTCTTTCCTCCATATCAAATTTCCAGATCTTCAAGAATTTGCATTCAGTTGTGTTTCAGTATTACACACCAGTTGCCCCGGAGGAAAATTGGGGAGGACGACGCCGATGGCAGAAGCGGTGTGGGATCATTAGTATGCGGAGGCATGTGAACTCGTAGGGACGAAGAAGCGGCTCGTTGTCGAATCCCCTTCTTCGTCGCCGGCCAATCAAAATCCATCGCCTCTGAGTTTGTGGATGTTGAGGGGACACACAGCCAAGCTCCGCTGCGTGGTCACCTGGGAGGTGGAGGGATTGGAGGTGTTGCCTGGCGACCGCGCATGAGGATGGAGTGGAGGAGCAACGGCAGATGGGGTAGGTAGGAGGAGGAGGAGGAGGAGGTGGTGGTGGCATGGAGGAGGAGCTGACGGCAGCGAAGAGTGCACGTTTTCACGATTTGGGAGTGGAGACAACGAGGAGAAACAATTTATTTTTTTGGTTAGGGACGTGGGAGGACCTCTTTACAAAAGAAGTTTCTTGAAGGGGAACGAAGATATTTCGCCAATCTAAGGATCTAATGGCTAGCAATGTCTGGAGGAAAAATCAAATGGTCCGTATTTTAAAGATGACATGGACATGTAATCTTGCAAGAAAGTTTCCACCTTTCACTTATTTAGATTTGCAGTAGTTTGCATAAACAAAACATTGTTCTTGGAAGCACGTTGTTCATGAGAATCTAATTAACAAGATAACCTATCTATAACTATAGTCGTATATCCGTACGGCGATTCAATATGACCCAGCAGCTATATTTAGAATATCACTAGAGACCATGAACTGTTAATAGAGATCAGGTCTGAGCTTACATTTCTAGTCAAGGAGGTTAAATGCCTCATGGCTGGAAATAGGGAGGTGGTGGTGTCGAAAATCTATCGTGATCAGAATCGCATTAGCCATATCTTAGCTAATAGAGGGAGGTGTGAGTCCTTAACGGCCTTTTGGCCTGATGATTCTTGTAATTTCATCTCACACCTTGTCGGTGCTGACTCTATAGCTTCGTAATATATCTCCCTTTCCCCGAAAAAAAATAGATATGGTGTGACATAATTAAGTTCTGTTTTAAGGATACAACCACTCTAATACGACTCCTGCCATTACCTAAGATGCACACAACCTCCACTCACAAAAAAAGAAGAAGAAGAAGAAGAAGAAGAAGAACCACACAGCCTAGCATTATTTAAGAAAAAACAAATATCATGCCACAACAAGCTACAGCCACAAACAAACTTCATTCTCATGCTCCACCAAAGCGAGCGACGCCTCAACTATGATAAAGACTCGTAAAATAACGCCTCCAAAAGGTGAACAATGCATATGTACACCCCGTTGTTATCAACTTGCCATGATCCAATCAGCAAAGACTAGACCATAAGTCACTTTTAGACACTTTTAAGTTTTCATCCTAGAGAGATTCTTCGAACTCTAGACAATGCATTAAACAAGGAAGACAATTTTAGACACTTTTCTCTAATACACCTTTTGTTCTTTATGCAATCAATTAAAAAATACTTAGTTAAAATCAAATGCCTACACGTGTCTCCAAAACTGAAATAAGCACACAAATGAAAAAAAAAACAGAAACAAATAATATAACGTTATTGTCTTTTTAAACTTTATCACATGTTATTTATTTAAATAAATTTCACAAAACGACATGTACTTTGACCAACTTATTGCAAGACTATAAATTTAAGGATGCGTATAACAAAATTACAGATACGGCATCACTAAATTTATTGTAGAACACCTTAAATCTATGGAAGTATATGTAGGTTTGTAAAATTTACTCAATTTATTTTAAGAACTTCAATACAAGTTCTGGCGTACACTAATATAGAAGGCCAACTATTTGTAGGATAGATAAGTAGATCCAGATGTCTGATGCTTCTATTCCATTATGGCAATGTATCAGGTGCACTCAGCACATCACGTGTACTCATCCAGTAGTAAAATAAGGTCCTTCCAATCTCAATCGGATAGCTAGGATCTTGGTAGGGTAATTTTACAAAAAGAAAAAATAAACCACCCACTTCCCACCTTGTACCTTTGTAAGCGAATCAAGTGGCGTATAAGTTAGCAAAGAGAGCGATGCAGGTAAAACAAAACTGTACTCGGGACGATGAGCCCCCTAGCTTTATTCTTGATTTGTTAGCAAACGATGTAACTATCCTAAATGAATAAAATCTGCCATATTTGTTAAAAAAAAATCCCCCTGGCATGGGTTTCCTGTTCTTTGGCTGTAGCTACCCCCAAATCACTTTGTCTCTCCCACGAATGACGGGGACGTGAAGCTGCTCGATGAGGGCGATGGCAGCACCCACCCACAAGAAGGCTGATACGAAGCGATGACTTAGGCCATAGATATAAGGAATCAAGTGCTAGATATCCACTCTTAGATTCCTAAAATTCTTCTTTCTCCTATTCGTTCTATCCAAAACCTAAATCTTTAATTCCTCTCTGCAAAAGGGCATGTAGTTCAGTGGTTGCAGTAACCAGAGTAGCACTCCATGGATATGAGTTCAAATCTTCATAGGAGCAAATAACTTAAAGAGACTCGGTAACAGCTCGGGCGTGCCCACGGAAAAAAGAAAAGGTGCCCACGCGCCATGCCGTGCCCATCGGGCCGGGTATCCGTGGATACCCGAATCCACGGGTATCCGGTTGGATTGTAGAGACAGAGAAAAAGTTATCCTTCTCTAAAAAAATAAAAAGAAATCTTTAATTCCTCTCTGCTATATGGAAATATGGAATGGTGGTTTAGAAGGAATCTTTGGATTTGTCGCAGCGTTGTGCTCTGACAGAGTAATGGGAGGATGAACTGGTTAGGGGATTTATGCAAAGGTAGAAGATAGGAGGCGGGTGGGTTTTTATAAAATTACCCACCCTACCAGATCCTAGCCATCGGATTGAGATGCGAAGGACCTGATTGCTGGAGTGTATGAGTGCACAGGATGAGGGTCAAACGGTTTTAAAAGAGAGTCGTTCCTCTTTCCTCAAACCAAATAAAACGTTATAGAATGTTTTAACATGAAAGGCATTAATGGCTATCAAGTAGAACTGGGGAGCACTCTCAGGAAAATGGATAAACTGAGTTCAGGCACAAAATTTGTACTCGGTACAATGCTTTGCCGTATATAGAGGACTGTCCATTGTTTGAATAGTCTGCACGACAGCAAAGATGGACTACGAACCAACTCTTTCTTTTTCTTTTGAATCTTTGACTGTAGATATGCATCTGTGAGGTTGGAACAAATTCAACAAATGGCTAGCCGCTATCCTCCGGCAACCTATAAATGCACATAACCCTGCTACTGAAAAAAAACACAACCCAAGCTACAGCTAGTCTTCCACAAACATAACAGCAACAACATCCATAGTAGCGGATAGATGATTCCTATAGGAACTCTCACTCCCTCACTTCTCACTTTTGCTGTCCTGTATGCTTTCTTGACCCTCCCATTAATTCCGTCACTAAGTAGCACCGCACTCGATGATGAATCCAACAAGGATCTCCAGGCCCTCCTTTGTCTCAAGTCTCGTCTCTCTAACAATGCAAGATCCCTAGCCTCATGGAACGAGTCTCTCCAATTTTGCACTTGGCCCGGTATCACCTGCGGAAAGAGACATGAATCTCGTGTCACAGCACTGCACCTAGAGTCCTTAGACCTCAATGGCCATTTACCCCCCTGTATTGGCAATCTCACTTTCCTCACACGAATTCACCTATCGAATAATAGGTTGAATGGTGAGATCCCAATTGAAGTAGGCCACCTACGCCGTCTAGTTTACATAAACCTTTCTTCAAACAATCTTACTGGTGTGATACCAAACTCTCTATCTTCTTGCTCTAGCCTTGAAATACTTAATCTTGGGAACAACTTCCTCCAAGGGGAGATACCCCTTGGTCTGAGCAACTGTTCAAATCTCAAAAGAATCGTCCTCCATGAAAACATGCTTCACGGTGGCATTCCTGATGGGTTCACCGCGCTCGACAAACTTTCGGTTTTGTTTGCCCATAGCAACAACTTGTCAGGTAACATTCCTCATTCACTTGGAAGCGTCTCGTCACTCACCTATGTCGTTCTCGCAAACAATAGTCTTACTGGAGGTATACCCCCTGTGCTAGCAAATTGTTCATCACTTCAGTGGCTTGACTTAAGGAAGAATCACATCGGTGGAGAGATACCACCCGCTCTATTCAATAGCTCCTCACTACAGGCCATAAATTTGGCAGAAAACAACTTTTTTGGGTCCATTCCACCTTTGTCAGACCTCTCATCAATTCAATTTCTTTATCTGTCCTACAATAATCTCTCAGGTAGCATACCATCTTCTCTAGGCAACTCCACTTCACTTTACTCACTTCTGCTTGCATGGAATGAATTGCAAGGAAGTATTCCATCGAGTTTAAGTAGAATTCCGTACTTAGAAGAACTGGAATTCACTGGGAACAACTTGACAGGAACAGTTCCACTCCCTCTCTACAATATGTCAACACTCACATTCCTTGGCATGGCAGAAAATAATCTGATAGGAGAATTACCACAAAATATTGGGTATACTCTTAAAAGCATCGAAATGTTCATTCTGCAAGGAAACAAATTCCATGGTCAAATTCCCAAATCATTGGCCAAAGCAACAAATCTTCAATTGATTAATCTCAGAGAAAATGCATTCAAAGGTATTATTCCTTATTTTGGGTCCTTACCCAACTTGACCATTCTCGATCTAGGTAAGAACCAGCTTGAAGCTGGAGATTGGACTTTCCTCCCAGCATTAGCACATACACAGCTGGCCGAATTATATTTAGATGCAAATAACCTTCAAGGAAGCCTGCCAAGTTCCACTGGTGATCTTCCACAAAGCATGAAAATATTAGTTTTGACATCCAATTTCATCTCTGGCACCATACCACAGGAGATAGAACAACTCAGAAACCTCGTACTGCTTCAAATTGACCATAATTTGCTGACAGGCAACCTTCCTGACTCACTTGGAAATCTTTCAAACTTACTCATTCTAAGCTTAGCACAAAACAGTTTTTATGGGAAAATCCCACTTTCAATTGGTAAACTAAATCAGTTAACTGAGCTTTACCTGCAAGATAACTCTTTCAGTGGACTCATCCCCAAGGCCTTAGGACAATGCCAAAAACTAGATATACTAAATCTTTCTTGTAACTCCTTGGAAGGAACAATACCAAAGGAATTATTTACTATTTCCACACTTTCTGAAGGTCTGGACCTCTCACACAACAGACTCTCTGGACCTATACCAGTGGAAGTTGGTAGTTTGATTAATCTTGGCCCCCTCAATATTTCAAACAACAAATTGTCAGGAGAAATTCCCTCAGCTCTAGGTGATTGTGTCCGTCTTGAGTATCTCAACATGGAGGGGAATGTTCTTAATGGGCAAATTCCTAAATCTTTTTCTGCACTGAGAGGCATCATTCAGATGGATCTTTCTCGGAACAACTTATCTGGTCAAATTCCAGAGTTTTTTGAGACTCTGAGCTCTATGGTGCTTCTTAATTTGTCATTCAACAACCTAGAGGGACCCATACCATCCAATGGGATCTTCCAAAATGCAAGCAAGGTTTTTCTCCAAGGGAACAAGGAGTTGTGTGCCATCTCACCACTACTGAAATTGCCACTTTGTCAGATATCTGCTTCTAAAAACAACCACACTTCCTATATTGCAAAGGTAGTAGGGCTCAGCGTTTTCTGTTTGGTATTTTTGTCATGTTTAGCAGTGTTTTTTCTGAAGAGAAAAAAAGCTAAAAATCCAACAGACCCATCATATAAGAAATTGGAGAAACTCACATATGCTGATTTAGTCAAAGTAACGAACAACTTTTCTCCAACCAACTTAATTGGTTCGGGGAAATATGGATCAGTATATGTTGGTAAATTTGACGCCGAAGCACATGCAGTTGCTATCAAAGTTTTCAAACTTGATCAACTTGGAGCACCAAAAAGCTTCATAGCAGAGTGTGAGGCCTTGAGGAACACCCGCCATCGCAATCTCGTAAGGGTGATCACCGCATGCTCAACATTTGATCCGACAGGACATGAGTTCAAAGCTCTTGTTCTTGAATACATGGTTAATGGCAACCTAGAATGTTGGCTGCATCCAACATCCTACAAGAATCGTCCGAGGAATCCAGTGAGGTTATCTACAAGAATAGAAATAGCATTGGACATGGCTGCTGCTTTGGATTATCTCCATAACCGTTGCATGCCACCTATTGTCCATTGTGATCTGAAGCCAAGCAATGTCCTTCTGGATAATGCCATGGGTGCACGTGTTAGCGACTTTGGATTAGCTAAGTTCCTTCACAGCAATATTTCTTCGACAAGTGATAGGTCTACAAGCTTACTGGGGCCAAGAGGGTCTATTGGATACATTGCACCAGGTGAGAATTTCTTAATGCACAAAAAAGATAGTATATGTCTTTTCTGTAAAATAATTTGCATGTTTCTTCTGACTGTGTTTTATTCTGATTTGCTCTTATAAACTCCTTTCTTTCAAGTTTTATGAGTTCATTTTTTTTGTCATATTAATTATAAACTGCGTTGCAGAATATGGCTTCGGGAGTAAAATATCAACAGAGGGTGATGTTTACAGCTATGGGGTTATCATCTTAGAAATGTTGACAGGGAAGCGTCCAACAGATGAGATGTTTAATGATGGCTTGAACCTTCACCAATTTGCCAAGGAGGCATTTCCTCTGAAGATTGGTCAAATTCTAGATCCGAGCATCATGCCAGATTATGAGAACGAAGACAATGATGCAAACAATGATCTAGACCATGATAATTGTTTGATGGATGGAATGCTGAACTGTGTCACGAAGCTGGTTAAGCTTGGCCTCTTGTGCTCTGCAGTGGCACCTAAAGATCGGCCGACAATGCAAAGCGTTTACAAGGAAGTCGCTGCAATCAAAGAAGAATTTTCAGCACTGCATGGTTAAGCCAAAGGATTATTTCTTTTATGTCGCACATGCTACTAGTACATTTTTCTTGTTTGAGCTTGTGATATGTCATTTTCTCCTCTTCAGTCTTACTAGTGAATATTTATGTGTGTAATAATGTCTGATAACTATGCCAGTTTGTAACAAATAATTAAAATTCAGTATTGAGCTCTTCTATCTGTCTCGTTTACTTTTCTGTCGTGTGGAATGAATCAATGAATTATTATATAGGGTACTACTTCGTCATCTAGTATTAACCACACAATTTAAACTGGTGAAGGAAAAAAGTATTGAGAAATCTGCCAATTCTGGTACCTACCGGTAGGCATGATCAGTAGTATCACAGCAGGCACTTCACTAGCAGGCTAGCAGCAGGGAGACCCCCCCCCCCCCCCCCCCCATCACTCTCGAGCTGCGACCGCATGACGGGGGCAGAGAGCGATTCCGGGGAGGCCGGGAGAGAGCAGAGCCCGCGGACGACGCGAATCGCCCGATGGAACAAACGACGCCGCAGAGGAGACAGTGAAGCAGACCTGGCGGAAACTACCCCCCTGGTGGAGCGCGGGGGCCGTCGAAGATGTGTCCGTCACGGCGGCGGCGGCGGCGCGAGGAATTGGTCCTCCCTCTCCACGCAGAAGCAGAAGCAGAGGAATCGAGCGCCAGGCCCTCCTACTACCGGCCTCGGCCCAAAAAAATGGACCTCACGTGAACAATTTCCATGCCGCCCTAACTATCATGGACCGCACGTTAACTGCGTACCTTTCCGGTCCAATAATATGCATAGTCTACACGTTCTCCTCAACTTGGATCCCAATAGTTTGGACCGGAAGCTCAATTTGATATCAATACGATCCCAACCCACACATGCTTATACTATACATTGCTTATGGAATGAGATCGATCGATCAGCTGGCCACCCTGCAGTTGGTCCTGATGGTGCCGCCGGCGGCGTTGCCGGTGAGCACGCCGATGGAGCCCATCTTGACGTTGTCGGCCGCGAAGTCGGTCTGGAACGAGTCGGGACTATTGGCAATCCCCAGTTGGCGACGATGGCGGCATGGTAGTTGGTGTCGAAGGTATTGGGCGTGACGGCGTCCAGTCCATGGGCACCAGCTCCCGGCCTCCTCCTGCTGCGGGCACTGCGCCACTGCGTCGCCAGCGCTGCCACGTAGCTGGGGTCCTGCCCGGCGTTGGGGCCGGACGACTACTAGAGCCGGTTGCTGAAGGAGCTGGAGGGCGACACACCGGCCGATGGTGTGCGAGCCCGACAGCGCCACCATCTCCGCCTGGGTGACCCCCTGCTTGGCGCCGATCGAACATCTGGCTCAGATGAGCCACGTTCACCGACGGCGGCGGCAGGTTGCCGTTCAACCCGTGACCCCCTGTGCCACCGACTCGGGCTCTGGCACACCAACGGGCACAAGCACCGAAGCACGGAACTCACATGATGATGCTGATAAGTGGGCCCACCGGCCCAGACACCTGGCACGTAAGTAAAAACAGTGAAAATGGGACATATTGCACAGTTTTATACAGTCTAAAGGTAAAGATTTATGGTATTTGAAATTAAAAAGGTCAATCAAACTCATGTAAAGTTGAGGGACGGCAGGTGGACTTATACCGGTCCATTAACATACAAGTATAACATATGCGCCTACGTAAAAAAAAGTCCAATTTGACTCCCTTAAATAAAGATCGAATCTAATTCATATCCTAAACCACAAGACCAGATATAATGACTTCCCCAACTATTAAAACCGTTTAAAACAACTACCTTGGTTGTTTTAAAAGCGGTTTTCGCTAATGTGGTATCCACGTGACACCCTAGTCATCAAATAAATTAAAAAAATAAGTTGGTCCTACTTGTCATCCCCTTCCTCTACTAACCTCTCCCCCTCTCTCCCTCTCTCTCTCCTCCTTTCTTCTCGGCACACAGTGGCTAACGATGATGACGTGGAGCGGCGGCGTCCAACGGCGAGGGCCCGACGGCGGGGGCGTCACTTGCGGCTACTGAGGCGGTGCAGACAATGGGTGAAGGGTGATGGTTCTCGGCCCCTTCTGCCCTAGCGCTGGCGGCAGCGACGTGCGACGGCGCCTACGGCTGCTGCAGTGGTGAGGACGGCGGGTGAAGGGCGATGGGAGGTGGTGACCTCCAGATTTGGTTGCCAGCGGCCGGTCAAGGACCTCTCTAGTTTGTCAGTATCCGGCGGCTGGTTGAGGACCTCTCCAACGTGCTCCTAGCACTCGCGGGCAGCGTGCGCTCTCCTCGTCCTCCCGCCACCGCCGTCACCGCTCCCGCTCTCCTCGTCCTCCCACTTTCTTGCTTCTGTGGAGAAGGGGAAAGAGAGGAGGGAGAGGAAAGTAGTGAGAAGGGAAGGAGAGGGAGGATGACATGTGGGTCCAACATGATGACTCAAAGGTTAGATTAAGTTAACAAGCCACGTCAGCAAAAGAACATCCTTAAAACCACCAAGGGGTTATTTTGCACTAGTTTTAATAATTGAGGGTTGAAGATACTAGTATTGCGAATTAGATTGATAGTTGCCTATATTTGAGCTGTCAATGAGCCAAGCTCGAGTCGAGCCTCACCAGATCTCAAGCTTTATTTTGGGCTCAGAACGTTCAAGCTTTGAGCTTTTCTCGAGCTGAGTAATTGTATATAATCTCCAGATTCGTTTTAAGAAGTTTTTTTTTTATTTTTTTAGAGAGAATAATAGTTAACTATGCCATGCACCGGCTGTTTCATGGTGAAAAGTGATGGGCCACAAGCCAACAAACTAACAATGAAATTGCACGGATGAAGATACCAATCTACTCCTTGCAGCTTTTTGTTAGATAATGTGCTTGCGCTTGATGGTTCGAATAGACTAGCCGGTGTGAAAAAAATTAATGAAGGCCGGTATTTACTGTGAGTTTGTGAGGGCATTCCCAACCCAATAACTAGGATGGTATCCATAGCATTAAATAAGTTGCCACTTAAGACAAAAAATGATGTGGCAAGTGAATAAATGAGGAAAGAGAAGGAAACCATGTCTTGTATGAGACATGGTTCCTACATAACATCCAAGACATCATGTGAGATAAGTAGCATTAAATTGGAGTATGGAATAGTGGTGTTTGCATTGGAAGAATAGTGTCTAGTACTAGTTTCTTGATGACGTGGAGTTTATAGAAACCATGTCTAGTGTTATGGGTTGGGACTGCCCTGAGGGCACGTACTATGGGCATCCAAGCACAATCTCCTAGATGTCACATAAGTTAAAATAGTGAAGTGGAGGAGAGAAGAGATGAGAGAGATAAGCAGCCACCTCTCATGCAAGAGATAACCGCTACACAAAATTCAAGACAAAAGGAAAGAGGGGAAGAGTAGATTGGACAAACAAACATTGGGGCTAGTATATTAGAATTAGTGTAGATGTGAGTATTGTACATGTTACCTCTACATTTATTAGTTGATGATGTGGTCAAGATTAGATGCAAGATCCACCTATTTCATAAAACTTGCCCTGAGGCCGTGACGTGTGGGTTGCCTAGTGTTGCAAATATATAGTGTGAATGTACTTTGGATCTTTTATTATTAAAGTTTTACTTTTGATCATCTTTTATCTAAACTGTTTACTTTGGACTAAACTAGAAAAATATCCGTTTGTTGCAACGGGTAAAATCTATTTACATCCAAATTAATGCTTGCGTGAATAAATTTTGTCATCTCTCAAAAATCGAACGAATTAACAGGGGCGGCCGTATTTTGAATTAAGAAAACACGTAAAACGAAAATGGATAGGGAAAAAATCGTAGTTGAATGCTATGAGATATTTAAGGTTGATCTTTTAAAAACAACTCTCTCACACAAGGGCTCTTCACAGCAGCTAAATACTACTCCATTCTCGAATAACTGTTATTGTTGATTACAACGTCTCACTTTAATCATAAATTACTACTAAATGATTATATTGCGATTCATACACATGTTAATAATAAATGGAGATAGAAGAGGGAAAAAAACATATTTGGATTATAGGATTGAAAAAAAAAGATACATTAGTAGAAAATTTTGGGATTAAAATAAGATTGCAGGATTTGAAAATATAGGAAATTTATGGGAGAACTCTTGGGCGATAACAAAGAATTATTTTATGAGTAGTAATATCTTTTATTTAATATGATCAAGTACTCTCTCATTTTAGCAGAGGGAGGATAGAGTATAAGATTAAGAGAAATTTGAATAATATGTGATTGATTTTTTAGATAATAAAATAAAATTTCAGCTTTTGCTCAATGACCTATGGCACATTATTACAAAGATCCATTAAAGTATGATTGTCTAGTATCTACATATGTGAAAGCAACCAGCTTTCTCATAAACTAATAAGCCACGTCATGTGAATAATAATAGCCTTAGGATGAGAGTAGGAACAAAATTGGACCGTTGGATCCATTTGTGTGTATACCAATCACACATAGGGAGAGTTCCAGATGAATAGGTCCTGTGCATCGATCGGTGCATATACAGATAGTTTAGTATAGATGGAGAGCAGCAGCAGCTCGCCTCATTGACCCACAACTACAGAAATCCATCCACCATAGTGCCAATTATATTACTCCCTTCATCTAAAAATATAGCTACTTTTAATATATAAAACTTATCCTACTTCTATTCCATCATCTCAACCAACTACAACCATTTTCTATTTAATTTCTTCATATACTTTCTATCAGAAACAAAAATAAAACACAACCCTCCCATTTAATTTTATTGCCCTCTCCCTAATCCCTTCAAAAAAACATAAAGGTAGACTCTCTAACTGCAAATATAAGCATCACAAATGTTTAAAATTTATTAAAAAATATAAGGATTTATCTTCAATCTCACCTCCCATTCAATTTATTTTATCTTACTCTTAACTATTTTCTCAACTCCTATCATTCCTCCGTAAAGGGATATAAAAATTTTATATGATTAAACATAATCTTTGTTAAACAATATGGAAATCCTTATATTTAAAAAATAGAGATAATAGTCTCACAAAAATTATCCCGTAATTATCAAGATCCGTCGTCAACTCCTATACACAAGTTATGCCGGCGCTCAGAGTCATGCGAAGCGTGACTGGGTGGCTAGTATATATGATTGATATTACAAATAGTATGGTAGAATTACATTTATTTTGAGATAAAATTTAAATCTAGAATCATACTTTCGGTGGGAAGGAGTAATACTTTTTTCATTCCTCAATCACTGACCGTTGGTGGGTTCTACTACCAAATTGTTTTTCTTATCCTTCTCATCCATTGGTTCCCACTTCCCAGCCATCAATTCGATCTTCTCGTTCCCTTCTTTCATGATAGGCTCCAGCGAGTTGTTGCGATGAGAAGTCAGGAGAACGGAGAATGGGATCGAGATATGTTGTTGGTGTGGGCTTGGCAGCGGAAGAGAGCGGCGGTGTGCGCTCGAGCTACCCAGAGGAGGTTCTTTAGCTTGCCATCGTCTAGGCCAAACTCGATCCGACATCATGGCTGCTGGATAGATACAGATGAAAGGAAGCAATGGTGTGATTTCATGGTGAGCTCAGCTGGTGAGGCTGGTTGTAGTCTAAGATTACGAATTTGGTTTTGCTTTCGCTTTCTCGTCTTGATTAAGAGGACAGGACACGCGCAGGCGCCTTAAGCAGGAGAAGACGATGGCGAGATGTGGTTTCTACTGATATATTCGTTATTTTTGTATTTTGGAGCACTAGTTAATTACTTTCAACTAGGTATATTTGTTATTTTTGCATTTTAAACAACCTAAAATCTTTTCACGAGCACATCACGCTGAGCTTTGTCACGCATGAATGAATGCATCAGTTGAAACTATGGATTGGCCCAGCAACGCATACGGCAAGCATGGTTTGCTTCTGGTAACCTTGCCGTGAAGCTATTCAACCTACAGGATACATCAACAATAGGCATCTCAAAGCTTTCCTACAGAATGTGAGTTTTACAAGTGTTACACATCGAAACCTTGTTAAAATATTGACAGTGTGACCAAGAATTGGTTCCAGGGGTCCAGAATTCAAAGCTATTATATTTGAGAGTATGCCGAAGCAAAGATTTTTCTAACTCCAACAGAAAGAACAAAATGAGAATGATCTGAATCCCTGCATATTGGAATTCTGTCTGCAAAAGAACTGGCAAAAGATGGCTTACATATTCTTCATACTTTGGCAGAGCTAGGGGGTATAATGCTTGGAAGTCTTCCCTGCTCTGCGTTGAGGCTCCTTCACACACTCAAGATAGAGATGTATCAAATCAAAAGAGTCTTGCGAGCCCGATTTCAGCAAGACTGCAAACTTATTTGGCAATTCAAATAATTTCCCAGTTAAACAAGACAGTCACATTTTCTTTACTTCACTTTAGTAACCCTTTGTGTTACATGACCTTACAATTTTGATAACAACTACAATGAAGAAAACTTTTGCAAATCGACTAAATCAGATATACAAATAAAGGGTTAATTAAAAAACACGACAGATAAAGGAGCTGCAAACTGCATATAGTCTGGTCCTTTTGTAGAGAAATTGCCAAAGTTATGTCATTACACTGAGAATGATATGTAATTACACCGAGAATTCCCTATTTGTCTAGACGATACACCATTTATTGAGGTAATATTATTGTATACCAAGAATAACATAACTCTTCAATGATATTTTCAAATCTTCCTACATTTCAGACATATAAATACCAGATAAATGACCATATGTCAAGCAAAGTTTAGACAACCACAAGCTAACAAGGCTTGGAGAAGATCAGGGATTAGTGGGAGGGAACAATGCCATACTTGTTATGAGAGTTCAATAGCACATGATAGATTGGGTCTCGGTACGACACTTGGAAAAGTTGTATGACAATGTAGCCACATGTCGTGATGCTAGATCAAATGAAAAAAAGTGGAAAGGGTCAATAAGTTCCTTACAAATAAATACATCATGATGCGCATAACTCACTGATGAATTTACTATAGATGTTCATATTACGTGACTAACTATTCTTGAGCAGGAAAGTGCCTCCCATATACAAATAAACATAATCTAGACACTACTCATAAGGAGAAGCACTAGAAAATACAAGTGGCAGGAAAAATGTATGCATCATACAGCTAACATGGCACAACCTTCATTGATTTTTATAAGGCATACTTGATTTAAAAGTCTTCAAGATTAAACTTCGATAATTGATTTCTCAAAAAATATATATCAGTAGTTATCAAACTTATATTGTATGAACGCACTTTGAAATGTCAATCTATTGGTATAATTTTTGTATATTATCTATACTTGGGAATTTGACTAATTTGTTGCCAAAATCTGTAGAATATTTTATCTACAGTATTTGATAGGTGGCAGTAACTACTAGTTGCACCTTATGATTAAGAAGTGCAAACAAAAAATATTCTACAAAGTTCATGCAGTAAAATCCAAGTCACAAGGACAAATATAACCCCAATGCAATGTAGCAATATAATCCTTCGAAAGCAACCCAGATGGCAGTAGATATCCAATGAGATGTTTCCTTTATAATCCTCAACAAAAAATTGTGTACCTTCCAAAGCATATTAACAAGCATATCCAGATGGCAGTAGATATCCAGTTTGACTCCTTGTGAGCAACCCATACCTGCAGACATATCACCAAAAATTTACTGATAGAAGATATAGCCACTATGATGGTTTTCTTTTTAATTTACTGATAGAAGATATAGCCACTACATGCAGTGCCTAGGACGCTACCACTCTACCAGCCAGCAGTGCCCTGCCATTTTATAGTTGCAGGACGTATTAATTACTTCATGGAAACACCTTTTCAGTAGGTGGGAGGTTGTGCTAGCATTGCTAATTAGCGCTTATGTTTTTATTTTTAAAAAATAAGATTATCTTCACATATTTTCAAAGAGGAAAGAAAAAAATGATAAAATATACTGGACATAAGGATTAATGTGTTGTAGATTTTAATGGAATATATTTTCATAACAAATACCAAAAAACTATTAGCAGAAAACTGTGGGTGCCATGGCATGATTAGAGCTGAGCTTAAGACAACTGTTCCAAATAACAATAGAGTCATGCAAAAGTAGTTTTAGCAAATAAAAATCGTTTCCCACCGTTTGCACAAAAATATGAACAACAATTTCCAAGATGCAGATGCATTCATGCAGGCAAACTAGTGTGTCGCACAAAATTACTTGGAACAATTTCTAAAAACCAAAGAATGTAATTTACCGATATTGCGAAGACATTTATATAGAAGTCAATTAAGGTTGCCGCCATCCACCTGAATGCAAAGGAAAATATTAAATTTGATATTTTTCTAATTGATAACACAAGTATAATAAGGAAAAAAGAAAATAAAAAGTGCCAGACAACATCTACAGAGTTAGCATGTTTGAAGCATGTACTGATAAATTTAACAAATCATGTGAAAACATATACAACACTATACTAATCGAAAATGTACTTCCAGAGCATTACTTAGGGCTGGCCTCCAAAATTCTTTTTTTAACTCTGCATGGACTTCCTGTGCTTCCTACTCTTATGGTGAAAATAGTCATGAAAATTTCTCAAATAATTTGGTAGTGGTGATACAAAATAAATCTATCAACTATCATGATAGAAAATTTCAAATCTAAATTTGATGTGGACATGAAGAAATAGAAAGGAAAAATTCAACGGAAAGTGGAATGGCAAAAAGAAAAAGGGAAAGCTACTATTCACTGATATTTGTTTTTTTGTTTCTCCCAATACAAGCCACATTTGCAGTTGAATTTTTACACATTGTTTTTATAGATAATGATCTATACTGCTAAGTTATTTCAGAATTTTTTATGACTATTTGCAGTCAAATTTTTAGAAGATAAGTCCAGAACACAAGTAAAATGTTCTCCTTGCCTGTACACAACTATGGTAAGTGCTAAGTGCTCCTAACAAGACAGTTACTAGTTTAACTCTTGAATGTAAATTCAGCATAGGGTGCTTATAGCACTTGTAAATACACATTTGTCTTGCTTATTAAATATATTATTTTCAAAATTTCCTTTAGCTGTATTATCAATCTATGCCTCTGTGATCTTTCATTCAATCACTGGGATTTATCCATTTTGCTTGCTGCATTCAACTGGACTTAGAATGTACTTAAAGAAAATAAGGTTTCTTAAATAATCTGAGCAAATATGGTTCACTTACGGGGTCAACAAGTCCTTCCTGAAAGGTAGTCCATCAGTGATGACAGTATAAATTACGACTGCAGCCATCATTGCCCCCAAAATGCTGAAAATAATTCTCCCAATTATGACAAAAGAGGACTTTCTTTCGGATAGATCTCCTTGCCTGAAAAGAAGTTGAGAAACACCTCAAAACACAGAAGATAAGAATAACAATTGATATATGAACAACAATATTCCTTAGACATCCAGAATGTGACACAAGGTCACCACATTGGTGAGAGCATGCACTATGGAACTATGGAATTTGGAGTGTTAGGTATATTACTCAACATATGAGGGATCTAGACCCAAAAGATGCAAAAACTGTGAAAGCAAAAGTTTCTTGTTGTAGGTGTTGAAATCTACAGGATAACACATTTCACAGGTCCCCCCAAAGTTGAAAGAGAACATAGCGTAACCATGAACCAATATAAGCTTCTTATAGTCCATGTCCACCAGACCATCAGTGCCCCCAGCCCAGAAAAAGAACAAAATTGCCAAATCCATTTCTGTTTTCAATATCAGCATGTAAAAAAAAAACTTTTTTTTACTTGATTTGCCAAATTATGCTGTCAAAAGCATCAAACTAAAATCTTTTCATCCTGCATACGCTAGGAAAAATTTGAATCTGTACCTGAGGAATAAAAGATCAAGTGGATCTTGTGAAGGTCCGGAAGTTTTTATTTCAAAAAGCTTCACAACAACATAAGCACATGTAGCAATACTGAAAAGATAACAGGAAAAAAGGATGATCACATTAGGTAAAATGAATATCTCCATTCAAACAGAATTATGAAAGTTTGACAAGCCACAAATATTATCAAGAAGGAAATGAGTACCTGCCAAAACAGTACAACAGAACTACCCAAAAGAAAGAACTAATCCAATTTACTTCCTTGTAGATAACCCAAGTCTGCAACATGCAAGAACATCTCTAGCTCACATCAAGATGAAATAATATTTAAAATTGTATCTCCATACATGAAGCGGACAAATAAATAATGATTTTCTTTTACATTATTTATATCATGTAGAGCAAAGCATTTGAGTGGTCAACCCTTGCAGATCCAAATATCCTTTAGTTTGTGTATATATTTAAGGTGGAATCTAGAAATTGTTTGTCTTAATCAGGGGAAAGGAGCTAATTAGGATAAGACACACAAAAGAATTCTCTGTTAGTTTTTCAGTGGTACACAGATTGGAGTTGGAGCAGAAATATCAGCAAAAGCTCCAAACTTCACACACACACACACAAAAAAAAAATACATGTTAAGAGAGATAATACAACAAAACTTCTCTACTATCATTTCATATCTGAGATCAATCGTCATGCAATTTAGTTAAAGCTTCAACCAGTTAGATACCATTCCCTCATACAGATCAGGAACTATGTTTGGTGGAAATCAAAATTTCACCAGATTCGCAAATTTAGCAAACATTTTATCAATTGAGTACACACAGAAAAAAAAAAGGTCTAACTCCAAGCATTATATCTCCTATGAAATATGTTTTGGCAACATTGAATTTATTCGTAAATAACAGATTTAAAAAATGGTAGAACATATTGCACTTTTGTACAATGCATGCAAACAATTGACTGCTGCCGCTTTCACTTCACGCTCCAGAAAATAATTCCTTCTAATCATACTGCTTGTAAACACTTCCTTCGTAACAAAATAACTAGTTGGTGAAGAGGGCGCAAAGTACAGCACAGAGATAAATGAATTACCGAAATCGCAGTCACATTGACATAAAAATCAATCAGTGTTGCCACCAACCACCTACACAGAGAAAAATTACAACTTCAAGTTAAGGCGCTTTTGGACAATAGTTCTGACCTCCCTACTCTGATGCAACACATAGTTCATTCGTTAAGAACATACAAACTCTCTCAAAGCCTTGGGCACAAACTACAAACCTAGAGGTCTAGAGCATAATTGGTGCACTTAATTATCCAAAGTTGCATCCATCGAGAACTACCTATACTTCCTGTCTTTCTGCAGCACCATTGTGCAGGTCACAGACAATAACATTGGAATAATACTTAAAATAGTACTAGTGACTCCCAACATTTGCTAATCATTACGCCTAAATTTAAAACAAAAATCCAAAAGCTTGAAATGGTCTACTTTAGTAAAAAAAGCAATAGCTGACTAACAATCAGTAACTAGCACATCTGAAATTAGCCAGCACTACCAAAATTCGCGGCAGTAACTAGCACCCAATCCTCTTCCATGGAGGGGGAAGGAAAACGAAGTGGTGTATCAACGCACTCACGGGGTGAGCAGCTCGAGGCGAAACGGCGAGCCGTCGGTGACGCAGGTGTACACCAGGGTGCCCAGCATGAGAGCGCCCAGCGCCGCGAACACCGCCCTGTACACGCCTATGGATCCCGCCGCCGCCATGGATGCGCCCGCTGGCCGCCGCGCGGTCGCCGAGGGTATCAAACGAAGTGGTGTATCAAACTAAACTACCAAAAACTCACCGCGAGACGAAATGGGGAAGCGGGGGAATTCGTCGGCGGAAGAGTCGTGCGAAACAGTACAGAAGGGAAATTTCCTCATCGGGCGAGTGGACGGGACGCGGACACGTCGTGGCGGAGGAACCGGAGGCGGAGGCGAGGCCACGTAGGCGGAATGCGCCTACACCGTAGGTCGCAGTGGAGGAGGAAGGCGTGGGAGTCGGGAGGGGTGGAGGTGGGGATCCGAGCTCGCCGCCGGCCGCCGCGCGCCGCGCGGCTCCGGCGATGTCGGCGAAGGGTAGAAGAGACGGGTTCAATGGGCTGGTTAGGCTATGGGCTGGATCTGATTGGACCTAAAAGTTACCGTTAGGCCTTTCTTTTTAAGGCCCAAAGCAAATTGGGTCAATCTGTGAAGCAGGCTTCATTTTGCTTTAAATTGAAGTTTAAGGGCCCATCATCAGAAATATAATCTTGTTCTTTGGCAACACACATCATGTCCAACTGATTTTGGCCTCAGTTCACTGAATGAATATTGCAGTTTATGAATTTTTTTCCCTACAGAAAACTTTGGATTAATTGTTTGCATACGGACTGTGATGATTCCCAATTATTCAAATCCAAATAGAATTAACCTCACAATTTCACTAAGGTATACATCTCCAATGTTTCTCTCCAAACATGGCCACTTGGTCAGTTAAAAGACCAGGCAGTGATCCACCCTTAACTTTTACTACTCTTTCTCCACAAACTACTAAACTGTTGTTTTTTTAAATAAAAAAAATATTATAGGAAAATTACTTTAAAGAATCGTATTAATTTATTTTTTAAGTTTTTTAAGTTAATACTTAATTAACTATGTGCTAACTCAACCCTCCATTTTGCATGTCGAGGAAAAACGGTTCTCAAACCTTTGCTTCAAACATAGCCGAGACATCTTTTTCTTCTCTTCCATCAAATGACTCGCAGACCTCCGGCAATGATGTAAATTGTCACGACGTTTGCAGACAAGAACCACTGGCATCTCATCACCGAACAAATTTCGTCAGCTCCGGGACGGTTTTGCCTCGGCGTTCAGTCACAACGCCGTGACAGCCGCAGCAGCAGCAGCAGCAGCAGCTGCAGTAAATGGCTAGACGACGGCGGAGAGAGTCAGTAAATTGGTCGGCCGGCCGGCTACCCGGCCCAATCTCCGCAGCCAAGCCAGCCGCCCTGACGTACGACGCCCGCGCCTCGGAGTGATGGACCCAACCGCCGCAACACCATCAATCCGTCAGAAAAATCCGCCTTGATCGATCGATCGATTGATTGCTCGTCGCGATGGCCAAGGTATCTGCATCCGAAACCGCTGCTTTCGTCACTGATCCATTGTACTATATTCGTCCCGAAATATTACTACTAACCTAGCTAATGATTAGATACTTTATAGTATAACAAATCAAAATAGGTTTCAGTTTAAATTTGTTGTACTAGAAAATATCCGATCATATATTAGATAGCAACATTTTGACACGGAGCAAGTATATCTGTATCAGCAGCGATGACGCGCTAGCTCCAGCTATATATCAGCAGCAGCCGGCCGGCCATGCATCGGGTTGTCTGCGTGAGAGGTGGCATTGGCTTGGCAGGCAGAGATGCATACGCATCCATGCATGCAGGAAAAAGATAAGCATGGATCGAGTGACATTTCGTTCCAATCTTGGGCTATCTTGTGTAGATCAGATAAGGAAGGAGACGCATATATAGCCGCTGAGCTAGCTGACGACATTGCAGCCTGCAGACATCGATCGAGCTACCCTGCCGACGAAGCATGACTATGTACTCCCTCCGTTTCAAAATATTTGACACCGTTGACTTTTTAGCACACATTTGACCGTTCGTCTTATTCAAAAATTTTTGTGAAATATGTAAAATTATATGCCTACATAAAAATATATTTAACAATGAATCAAATGATAGGAAAAGAATTAATAATTACTTAAAATTTTTGAATAAGACGAACGGTCAAACATGTGTTAAAAAGTCAACGGCGTCAAACATTTCGTAACGGAGGGAGTACTATCTTTCTTCAATTCAGCAAAATAGGCTAGAGAGCGATCACACGTGTGCGCAGCCCTGCCTGCGTGTGAAAGATACGTGTAATGTCATATCGCTCTTGCAGAATCTATCAACTTTTATGGGGTTAATTAAAAACGTCTGAATTTCGCCCATAACATGGCTGAACATGGATAATAACTTAATTAACCGACGATTGGACCACTAAAAGTATTATATTGTTTCTTCCTTTTCTTTAATCTCGCTTTCAATTTCATACTCTGCGTTTCTTAATTCTTATGTTACTCCAAAGTAAACGGTCTGACATGTGAAGTTTCAGAAAATACTAGAGAGGTTTCATCATAGCAAACAGCTGGTGGAATCAGAATGAACCAGCAAAGCAGAGCAAATTTTCTTCTGATGCATCGTACTCCTGATCTGGGACCAGGTCTTTATTATTGTGGCTGCTAACTTCATTGATAGACAAAGTAAGCGTATTAATAAGTTCATTAAATCTAAAGTCAACCACTTGATGTGCTCTTGGATGCTCTAGGTATTAGTCTTGTCCTTTGATTTTCTTATGTTTCCTTGACATGATGCAGCTCTGAAGTAGGTTACACACTAATCACTATCATGTGCTGCAGTTAGTTCAGGCGACCTAAATTTCTGGAGCCGTCCTGAACATGATCGATCATTATAAAATTACTAATAAAAAATTAACAGATAGTTTAAAGTCATGATCAGATTGAAACATATACAACCAAGTTTGAGAGGAGGATCATCTCATCGTACCTGTACTTTTTTTACAAGGTCTCATATTTTATTTTGCGACATGATGGAAGCTCGTCACTTAAACTATACATCAGTCAACTTCTTTCTTCAGTTACATAATTCGAACACATCGCATAACAAATCATATGTTTGGTACAATTTTTTTTTAAGCACAGAAACAAACAACTGTCATCTGTACTAGTTTTTGTCACCACAACCGATTGAGATCTTTGATAAAGCCTCGCCATTGCTTTCAAGATAAAGAAAGAAAACATCTCAACATGATTTCTGAAACTTCTTCGTTAAGTTCTTGCAGCCAATAGCATAAAAAGCAATGCTTCTCCACACTTCTAATGCTCACGAAAGCAATTCGAGGAGAGATCTTGTTGTGTGTACATTGGATGCCACTAACAATCGTAGCTTGGTTGGCCTGCCTCTCCCAAGAACAGCCTTTACGTTTGTTTATTCCAAAGGGAATTCGCAGTTCAGATGTAGGACAAAAAACTATCACTAGTTCATCCTTGCTCTGTCCTGCTACCAAATTAGGAAGTACTATCCTACTGTGTCATATTGTTGTGGCTAGCAAGCTGCTTGCAATTAATAATGGGTTAAAACAAAGTTATATAAAAGATTAGTGATCCAAATGATGTGTTGAAGAATTCCCCGACAATTGCTGGTGGCTAATTAACATGGTTAAAATGCGGCTATAAATTATGGACGATCGACAAGCGACCTCAAGTTCAAATTGCCTGCAGTCTGTAGAAGTTTTCGACCACAAGACAGTTAAAAGGATGTCAAAAAATAAAGTGAATCGATCAGTGGAAGAAAAGGCATTAGCAATATATTCTTACAATAATTCATAAGAGATATTCCACTTGAACAAACAAGAAAAGACGGTGACCCCATGGATAGTGACCAAATAAGAATCAGAACACAAGATTCTCTTATAAACGACAGAGATTAGATTCCATACAAGATTAAATAATCTGTTATAACAACCGGAAGTTGATCTCTACAAGTAGTAGAACGTACTATTAGCATTATCACAGTACAAGTTCCAATAATTTATTTATGACTTGTAACAATAGAAAAATCTATTGTAATATCGGTAGTTGATATGGTAGTAAAAACAGAAACGGTACATTGGATTAGAAACAATAAACGGTTTAGACTGATTTCTACTACCAGTAAAGATTATTATAAAATATCCCGGTTAAGTCTATTTTTTATTATATATAATTCATCGGACAATTAAAAGATAGGAGTTTTTTATGCAGCTCAGTTACCGTAGCCAAAATCAGCCAATATTCATACTAATCACATTTTTTTTCACTTCAAATAGTAGTATAGTCCACAATTCTTCCATTTGTATTGAATTTTTCTCCCGTGAAAATGGTGACCCAACAGAGTATTTTTTTTCCCTTTAGGGATCATTTGTTTTAGTCGAGAAATTAGTTGAATTATTGCCAGTTACACTAACTAAAACTTTTATCCAAATGCATATAATCGCGATCGATAAGTCACAGAACATTCATATCCAAAACTGATTAAGTGGTAATAAACTAAACTAAAAGGACTATATATATTACACTATATACATAATTGGTTAAAAGAATGACCTAGGTGAGGCAAGGTGGTAGTAAGGTTGGTTCAATATACTCCCTCCGTTTTAAAATGATTGACGCCGTTGATTTTTTAAAACATGTTTGACCATTCGTTTTATTAAAAAAATTAAGTAATTATTAATTATTTTTCTATCATTTGATTCATTGTTAAATATATTTTTATGTAGGCATATAATTTTACATATTTCACAAAAGTTTTTGAATAAGACGAACGGTTAAACATGTGCTAGAAAGTCAACGGTATCAAACATTTTGAAACGGAAGGAGTATATGAATATGATGGATAGGCAAAAAGAAAGTCTAGGCAGGAGGAGGCCTCCACATGGTCTAATTATTTATCTGCAGGAGTAAGCCACATCTCTGTATGTGGATGTCAATCCTTAATAAAAGAGTAGTATATGTGGGAATAGAACCGCATGCTCCTATGCGTTCCATTTACAGGCTTCCCGAAAAGAAGGAGAGAGATTATATTCCTCCTATGTATGGACAGTGGGAACAAGATCCATGTTTCTCCAGTGTTCTAAAATCTAATTGAGTTTAGTTAGATATGTGGATCTTAGACAAGATTGCCTACACTAGGGGGAACTAGCTAGGCGATATTTCCGTTATATATATATATATATGCACGTACGGAGATGTAGAATGATTAATTTGTCAACTAGCTAGCTAAGGTTACTAAGTATTAAAATTTAGTCATATATTCCCTCTGTTTTTTAATAGAGAATACCGTTGACTTTTAACATATATTTAACTATTCGTCTTATTCAAAAATTCTATGAAAATATGTGAGATATAAATCATGATTAAAGTACTTTAAGTAACGAAACAACTCGATCCAACA